TGGAATGCCAGTTTAATAGAACAAAGTATTCTTGCGTTGAGGGAGTCCTTGAGTGGAGGCTCAATGTCTATCTGCTACCTCAATGCTAAACCTATAAATAGATGCACATAGATCTATTTCCCCATCCTCATATATAAATATATTTACATAGGTTTAGGCTTGTATTTAGACCTCTATAAATGCCCTCTGCCTCCTAGTTCTTTCCTCTATTTCCTTTTACTTTCCTCTTATCCCACTATCATGTTCAGCCTTCTTTTGGGTTTCAGTAATTCCTCTTGGTTACATTGCCCTTGATCAATCCCTACCAGGCCTCTTACATCCTTCTCACCACCGATTACTGTATCACTTGTTGTTCCCTTGTCCCTGGGTTACAACAACCACATTTTGCTATCTCTTTGACCATACCATTCTATAAATGTTTTTATTTATATGGTGGACTATGGCTAATGGCCATTGATTATAGCTATATTAATTATTTTACTGATTTTCATATATATATATTACTTTGCTCAGTGCATGTTATTTATATAAATACCACAGTTAAAGTGCATATTTTTTCATGATGATCTATGGTAGAGTAATTTTAGTGGCATTCTGTGGTTGGTGGTATGCCAGTTAAGCACCCAGAGGCTAACCCAAAGTTTCATTGTTCAAACTCAGTAGCCACTGTGCAGGAGAAAGATGTGACAGCCAGTGTGACGAAGTACAGCCTTGGAAACTCTGTGGGGTCCTGCTTTCTTCTGTGAAGTCATTATGAGCTGAAACGGATTCAGTGGCCACAGGTTTTATGTAAGATATACAACTTACATAGAGCCAAGTGTTCAATAAGAAATGACCAAAAATAGACATGTTCAATATACAGTAGTACCCTTAAAAGTTCAAAAGCAAATCATTGATCAAACTGTACCAAGTTTAGGGACATGCATCATACTAAAAATCAAACCAATTGCCATTGAGTCAGTTCCAAACCATGGCAAGCCCATGAATGTCAGAGTACAACTGTGTTCCAAAGAGTGGTCAAACACCTCTCTTCTGGAACCTCTGAGTGGACTTGGACTTGATATTTATTAGCAAGCCAAACCAAATCCACTGCCACTGAGTAGAGTTTGACTCACAGCAACCCTCTAAGATAAAGTAGAACCACACCCTAGGGTTTCTGAGACTACATCTTTGTGGAAGCAGACTGCCTCCTCTTTCTTCCACCGAGCGACTGGAGGGTTCAGACTGCTGTCCTTTTGGTTAGAACCCCAGTGCTTAATCCACTGTGTGCTACCAGGACTTTAAAATATTCCTATAAACTCGAAACTCAGTGCCACCAGCTTGATTCCAACTCATAGAGACCTTATATAGGACAAAGTGAATTGCTCCTTAGAGTTTCCAAGAACTGTACATCTTTTGAGAGCTGATAGTCTGATTTTTTTATCCTTTGGATCAGTTTCTGGGCTTGAACTATTGACCTTATGTTAGCAGACCAGTGCTTAGCCCACGGCACCACCAGGCCTTCTTATATCTGTTTTAGTCACTGTTTAATGTAAGGGACTATGAAATTGTTAAGCGTTCAGATAGCTGCAGAGTTGCAGCAAAAGATCACCGAACTTCACATGATGGAAAAGGCTTCAGGGTCCCAAAATATGAAATGACATCATTTGCTTTTCAGATGATAGAGGGGCAAAGGGAGTCGAACCTTGTGTCTGCCTTTCTTGCTCTTAGCCTCAACCTCTGATTATGAGTGAGGACTCTGGGAATGGCTTGGCTGTCCCTGGCCGCCCACATCCAGTGGGTGCAGGAGCTGTGAGCAGTTGTATAAGGATGTGGTTGCTCTCTGCACTTGGAGTATTTGGATTTTCTCTCCGGGTTTCCCCAACCAGATAATGGTCTGCACAAGACATTCTAATTTATGTCAGGTGTTAGGGAGATTCAAGTTAAAACTCACTCTCCCTCACCAAGACCAATTGTTTTGGAGTCAATTCCCTCATAGTGAGCTCATGTGTGGCAGAGTAGAACCATGCTGTAGAGCATTTGTAATTGTGGGCTTTCCAGAAGTCAATGGCCAGACCTTTCTTCCCAAAGCCACCAACCTTCTGGTTAGCACCCTAACCATTCTCACCACTCAGAGGCTTTGCTCCTCCACCTAATCTGTCCATATTTAGCACCTCTTGGTGGCTCTCCAGAGCCTCTGTGGCTGGTCAATGCATTTATTTCTCGGTGCTCAGCCTCCAAGAATCCAGTGACTGTGGAAAGGGCAGCATTTGGTTTTCCAGGGACTTTGACGAGGTGCTCATTAGTTCCTTAGCAAGGCTCTATAATCAAATAGTAAGAAGATTGTTGGTTTTTTCCCTCCCTTCCTCCTTCTTGGCTGTTGGCCCAGTAATAAGTATGGTTCGTAAAACTCATCCTGCTCTTTGGCCCATCACCCTGTTCTGTCCTGGCTGTTGGCAGGACATGCACAGAGGCAGCTGTGCCAGGGCAGGCGTGTGTGAGCTGACTGGAGAACCTTTAACGTAAGTTTCCACTGCCTTTGCCTTCCCTCTCTTCTTCTTGGGGAGGGAGCGCAGGCTCCCCCACCCCGAACTCCGAAAGATGGGAAATTCTGATAAGATGAAAACACCTGTGCTCCAAAGATTGTGACATTGACTTCTCAACTTATTATACACCAGACTGACCTATTCTTCATTCATGTTCCAAAGGAAGAAATATAGGTGGGCACATTTACAGCGTTCTGGGGGATTTTTTTTCACGTGGGTGAGCACTTCAGAGTCAGTGTGAACAGAGGAGATGAAAGCATGGAAGAAGGATGGACTTGAGTAGGTATGGGTTTGGGTGAGCAGAAAGAAATCTTAATAGAGAATTAAGCTGGGAGTGGACATGTACACATGAGACAGCTGGCATTTTCTTTGTCACCAGACTGGCTAGAGCTTATGCATTTGTGGCCAACTCAAGGCCACCCCATGTGCAACAGAGTGGAATGGTACTTGGCCTTCCACCATTTTCACAATTGTCAATATGCTTCAGGTCTATGTTGTGGCACGTGTGTACTTTGAGTGCCTTCCAACCTAGAGGTTGTAGACAGCATTCTTTTTTTTTAATTGTCCTTAGGGTTTATTTTCTTTTTCCTTTTTAAAAAAAATCATTTTATTAGGGGCTCATACAACTCTTATCACAATCCATACATACATCAGTTGTGTACAGCACATTTGTACATTCATTGCCCTCATCATTCTCAAAATATTTGCTCTTCATCTGAGCCCCTAGCATTAGCTCCTCATTTTTTCCCCTCACTCTCCACTCCCCCTTCCCTCATGAACCCTTCCTAATTTATAAATTGTTATTTTTGTCCTATCTTGCGCTGTCTGACGTCTCCCTTCACCCACTTTTCTGTTGTCAGTCCCCCAGGGAGGAGGCTATATGTAGATCCATGTAATCGGTTCCCCCTTTCCAACCCACCCTCCATCCACTCTCCCAGTATCGCCACTCACACCACTGGTCCTAAAGGGGTCATTCCCCCCTGGATTCCCTGTGTTTCCAGTTCCTATCTGTACCAGTTTGCATCCTCTGGTCTAGCCAGATTTGTAAGGTAGAATTGGGATCATGATGGTGGTGGGGGGGAGCGGAGGGGGGGAGCAAGCATTTAGAACTAGAGAGAGGAAAGTTGTACGTTTCATCGTTGCTACATCGCACCCTGACTGGCTCATATCCTCCCCTCAACCCTTCTGTAAGGGGATGTCCAGTGGCCTAAAAATGGGCCTTGGGTCTCCACTCTGCACTCTCCCCCTCATTCACAATGATATGATTTTTTTATTCTGATGATGCCTGATACCTGATCCCTTCGACACCTCGTGATCACACAGACTGGTGTGCTTCTTCCATTCTTATCCATGGGATTTTCATTAGCTAATACTCAGAACTGGATGGCCAGACCGTTCTACCTAGCCTGTCTTCACCTGGAATCTTCCCTGAAGGCTATCTACCATGGGTCACTCTGCTGCTACTAGAAACATGGGGTACACCTCAGAGGTAGACCGCCACAGTAGAACAAACATGGCAACGAAGTGAGCGGTGTGAAGTTTTTGGTTTCCCAGTGCATGTAAAAGTTGTGTTTACACTTTACTGTTGTCTGTCAAGTGAAATAGCATCATGAACAAATTTTAAATATTGTGAGAATTACTAAAATGTGATACCGGCATGTAGCATGCAGATATCTTTGGAAAAACGGCTCTCACAGAATTGCTCCATACACAGTTGCCATAAGCCTTTGAAGTATAAACAGCACAGTGTATGCAAAATGGAATAAAGCTAAGTGCAGTAAAAAGAGAGCAGCCTGGACTGGAGGCACAGCGTTCAGCACTGTGGAAGCCCACGGGCCACCACCGTCCCACGAACTGACAGATGTCTGGCAGCGTCATACATTGACTCCTAGGGTCCAGGCCCTCCTAAAGGTGCCTGTTCAGGCCACTGTTTCATTGGGCTGATACAACAGATTGTTAGTGATGTTCTTAGGCACCATTGAGTTGGTTCCAATTACTTAAGAGCCCACTGTACAACAGAACAAAACATTGCACAGTCCTGAACCATCTTCACAATTGTTGCCCTATTTGAGACTATGCAACTATGTAATTAGCCTCAGGAAATTGGCCAGAATTACTACAGCCACCCTTAGATCTCACAGTATCAGACTCTCACCTCAACAATACCATTCCTCAGCAGGAAATAGAAAAGGGACACTCCCTGACCTTCCATTGTGTATTGGGACCCTGGCTGTTTGAATAAAAGTTGCCATTAGTTTTATATCCATGGTATTGATTATTAACCACAAGCCTAGAGGCCAAAACCTTGGGCACTTAAAAAATAAATTCAGTGTAACAGATTTACAGAATTAGTCAGGATTATGGTTCTGAACTTTTCAACCATGGGGCAATGGGTAGTGCACATGGTTGATGTGCTTGGTTGCTGACTGAGGGGTTGGGATTTGAGTGTACCTAAGTTGCCTTGGAGGAAAAGCCGGTCTTCCACCTTAGACAAACCGGAGAGAGCACAGCTGGTCTCTGGCATACACAGAGTCACTATGAGTCAGAATAGACACGCTTGGAATTGGTTTTAAGTCCTATAGCACTGATCATTGGAAACACGCATACATTTAATGAAAAAGGAAATTTGGAACATGACAGTAAATTCTTCTTTTGAAAGCACAAGGCTTTCCATTGTCTGGTGGTTTCGCGTCTTGAGATGGTATGTGTTGCTAGACTAGCTTATAATAAAAATGGACATATTCTTGGCTCACTGATTTTTCTCCCTCTTCCACAAAATCATCAGTTATCTAGAATTAATATAAAAACAACCTCAGCAGAATCTATCAACCAGCATGTGCATTCTTTCCTACAGGACAGTTTAAATTCAGTCAGTGTTCAGAGCATTGCATGTGTTGTATCTGACTTTAAGGAGCCCTGGTGGCACAGTGGGCTGAGTGCTGGGTCAAGGGTTTAAAACTGCCAGCCGCTCTGAGAAAGAAAGGCTTCTGGTTACTGTGTCCCAAGTGCAGGGGGCAGCTCTCCTCCACCCCGGGAGGTCCCAACTGGTCAGAATCAATCCCACGGCAGTGGGTGTAGTCGGTTTGGTGTACTTGACTTCAGAATATTTGCCATGCTCTTGACTTCTTCATTGGGCTTAGAGTCTTTTACATGTCCTCCTACTATTTCAAAGTGCAGAAGTCTCGGTGAAGTATGTTACGTGATTTTTAATCAGCATAAGGAAAATAAGCTTTGGGGAAAAGAGATTAAAGATGGACAATGTGTAAAATGGTTCGCATCCACCACCTCACATAAATCAGAATTCTAGGTGTGGCTTGAGGCAAAAGTAGGCTACCATTCCGGTTGAAAAATGATATTGATCTAAGAAAGGTATTTAAAAGCTCCAAACTATATCTTTACAAATAATCTGTATTCTTTAATCCTAAAGCATAATATTTAAATTCCACACTGACTGCTTTTTATTTCTTTCAGCAATTTCACCCGAAATAAATTGACAAGTTTGTCTAGGAAACATTTTCGTCATCTTGACTTGGCTGAGCTGTAAGTAATGATTGTGTGTGCCATTTGGGGCAAAACATTCAAAGGAGAGGGTGGCTATTTATTACCTTTCAAAATACATGGTGTTGATGACTTGTTTTTAAATATCAAAATTCTTAACAAAATGCTTCAATCTTGAGTGTTAACCTCCTTTTGTAGAAGTTATTTGATGGTTTGTTTCATTCTCTCATGATCCAGCCATACAAAACAAACAAACAAACAAAAACAAACACAAAAAGAAATCTCAACATTTTTGTATTGTTTGTGATGAGCTGAAGTGGTTTTAGACAAAGGATTTTTTTACTCTAGCAGAGCATGGGGATTTGATGTGACATGGCTGCACATGTGTGTCGTTCTATGCCTGTTATATCAGGCCCTAAAGTAAAGGCGAGCTATGCAAGGGGAAGATGACAATAGGCCAGGCCCTTGCAGGTTTTGTCCATTTACCACAGTCTGCTACACAACAGAACAAGATGTTGTCCGGCTCTGGTCATCCTCACGCTCAGCCATGCTCCAGGCTGTTGTGGTCATTGGACCAATCCATGTTACAGAAGGATTTACCCACCCTTTGCTGGCCCCTTAACTCACCAACCAGGATGTACTCCTCCGGTGATTGGTCCCTCCCAGTAATGGGTCAGTTCCTGAGGTTTGGACAAGTCTGTTTGATCCATAAGTTTTCAATGGCTAGTTTCCAGAAGGAGATGAGCAGACCTTTCTTCATTGTCCTAGTCTGGAAGCTCTGCTGAAACCTGCCCACCATAGTGGCCCTGTGGGTATTTGAATTACTGGGGAAATAGTTTTCATCATCACGTAACCCAGAAGCTGCCTCAGTGTGATGACTGGACAGAAGCGGGCAGATAGTGAGCACTGGAGGAAAGCCATTCCTTCTCCCTACCCACCTGTCTTTGTGGGATTTTCTTCTAGCTTGGCCACTGTGTTCAGTGTTTATCCTTATGTCCCTTTACTTCTCATCTGTCAAACGATAGGAAGAAAATGGAAATGTGTCGATGACTTATGGCCACCACTTTCTGGTATGCTGTTCCTATTCTCTCAATTCTGTTACCATTCTCAAAGCAACTCTAAAGCAGAGGGTCTGGATGGTGACGGTGGACTTGGCTTTTGAATATTAGGCAATGACTCTGGCTTAAACCACATGTCATCCTGAATGGAATTAGCTTGTTGTTAGTTGCCATTGATTTGGTTCAGACTTAGAGCAACTGTTTGTACAGAGGACAAAACACTAGCAGATCCTGCAGCATCCTCTCAATTGTTGTGTTTAAGCCTATTGTTGCAGCTCCTGCATCAACTCATCTCCTTGAAGGTCTTCCTCTTTATTACTGTCCCTCTACTTTGGCAAGCATGATGTCATTTTCCAGGGACTGGCTCTCTTTATAATGTGTCCAACGTACGTGAGAGGCATCTTGTCTGTCACCCTCACTTAAAAGGGGCAATCTGGCAGGACTGTCGCCAAGACAGATCTGTTTGTTCTTCTGTCAGTCCAATAGGTTCAATATTTTACACCAACACCACAGTACAAATGTATCAATTGTTTTGTGGTCTGTATCATTCATTGTCCACCCTTCACATGAATTTAAGGTGATTAAAAATCGCATTGACTTAGCGTGCCTTTTTATGAAAGTCCATTCCCATTCACAAACAGTTGTCCAAATTCAAAGAGGGCACTAGTGGAGAGGTTGTTAATAGTTGACGGTGGTGGGTGGGGGTGGAAACATGGTGAAATAATTAGCAGTTAGAAGTTATATGGAATCAACTGAGTTCAGAATTTGAGCATTGAGTTTGTAACATAAAAAATGAAAACAAAATAATTTAAAAGGAGAAGGAAAAAACTGAGTGATTCCATTTGTCAGAGTAGAACTGTGCTCTCTAAGGCTTTCCATGGCTGATTTATCAGAAGTAGACTGCCAGGTCTTTCTTCCGAGATGCCCAATGCCCATCTTTTGGGTGAGATGCCTCTGGGGTAGTCAAACACCCATCTTTTGGGTGAGATAGATGCCTCTGGGGTACTCGAACGCCCATCTTTTGGGTTAGTAACCAAGGGCATCACTTGTTTACCTCCCCCAGGGCCTTCTGAAGTTCTCACTAGTGGAGTGGTACATGAGTTTTCAGTACTATGCTTCTAGTTGAACGATCCCTTTGCTTCTTAAAAGCATCTTTTTGATCAGTTATAACAGTTAAATTGGATTCTAGCTTCTCAGACCCTCTTGAAAGTCAGGAGACATCTTGAATCAGTGAAGTTAAACTGGTCGCAGGTCTCTTCCACAGTATATTCTAAATCAAGCAAATCAACAAACATATGAACGCATGAGTCCATTCCTCCTCAGAGAGACCCTCTAGGGCAGTTTCCCCTTAGGGCTTCCCAGGCTGGGAGTCTCTGCAGAAGAAGTCTGTCTCATCGTTCTCCCCAGAGTGACTGGTATGTTTGAACCACCAACCTTGTGGTTAACACCCTGTCACTTAATGCCTTGCACCACCAGGGCTCTTTATCCAGTAGCACTAAAACCTATTTTGGTGTAGGAAACCTACTTCGAGATGATGAAACTGATACCTCTGAAACCGCTCTGCTGTGATCACATTTTCCCCAATGTAACTCCTAGAAAAGTCTCCAGGGATCCTTGAGATTCTTCGAACCCGACCAGAAAACCACAGGAGTAAATGATGCTGTGAAGCCCAGGTCCTGTCCTCACGGAAATTTTAAGTATTGTGGTTAATGCCAGACAGAGTCTATGTAACGATTTTAAATGGACTAATTTAAAGGCTCATTACCATAAATGGAATTCATTTTAAATAGGCCACTGAGTATTATAAATAAGCATTTAAAGATTTTTCTCCCTTGTGGTTTTTCTTTCCCCCCTGGCTGCTTCCTCTTTCACGAGCCACAGGACCAAGGGAGTGTAGGCAGCACAGCTGCGGTCTGCGCAGCGCCTTTCTCTCCACAGGCCTCCCCAGGGCAGCCTCAGCAGCCCTGGGGAGTGCTCAGTTGCCCAAGTTCTCAGAGACCCCGAGCTTGCAGTGTGTGAAAGGAGTTAGTAGCTCCCTTACAGTTCACACATTAGCATTCTTTCCAACTTTTTATGGACTCTGGTGGTCTGGGGGCTAGCTATTGGACTACTAACTGTAAGGACAGTAGTTCAAATCTACCAGTTCCTCCGAGGGAGAATGTTGAGGCTGTCAGCTTCTATAAAGTTTCACAATCTTGGAAACTCTAAAGAGGGTCACTGTGAGTCGGAACCCATGGATGGCAGTGGGTTTAATGCAGAAATGTGATAGTGTTAACCTATTGGTGATCATGCCGTATTATTAGATTGTATTCACACTCAGTTTTAATGAAGTGAGATCATTCTGCCTCCACTGAAGTTTGAGCTTATGAATGATAGATAATGCATGGATATCTAGCCTGCTCAGCACAAAATATTGCTAGAATTCCTGAAAACTTCTATTTGACACCTTCACTTCAGATCTTAATAATTGTGTAGGGCAAAACATTGGGGGGGGCTCTATTATCTTTTAATTCCACCTTTCCATGAACTGTTTGAAGCCCCTTCTCATAGGAACCATGACAAATTTGTTATGGCATCTTATTTTTCCCTGCCGTATTGAGGCAACAATTCTATCCTGGAGTCCCTAGAGGGTGATTTTGAATCCACTCAGGTGCTGTAGGAGAAAGGCCTAGAGATCTACTTCAGAAAAGTCAGCCACTGAAAAGCCTATGGAGCACAGTTCGCCTCGGACACACATGTGGTGATTGACATAAGTTGGAATTGACTCATCTGAAACTGTGTTCTTATCTGCTTTTCCATCTCAGGTTATTCTGTGCATTCTTACCTGCCTTTATATCCTTTAGTCTGTAACAACTTTACATCGAAGAAAAATTCAGTAGGTATTGTATTAATGATCAGTCAACACCGTCATCTTGTGAAAGTAGGTGTGACTTCAAAAGATTAGCATCTTGAAAGAATCCATAATTTTGCAGTATTTCATAAGCACGAGTGCAATTAATGCCAAGAAAGATGCTGATTGAGTCTTTTGTTTGATCCTGGTAGGATTCTTGTGGGCAATCCATTTACATGCTCCTGTGACATCATGTGGATCAAGACTCTCCAGGACACTAAATCCAGCCCCACGTCTCAGGATTTGTACTGCCTAAATGAAAGCAGCAAGAATGTTCCTCTGGCAAACCTGCAGATCCCCAATTGTGGTAATTTACTTTTAAATCAATGAGTTCCATTGCTATTAATTATTTTAATTGCCTTGGTGTGGTAGAGAATGTGGGAAGATTACCAAAGTCCAGATTTGATGTCTTAGGTTGTGATTTGCCAGTGGGAAAGGCCACACTGGTGTACAATGCAGAGCATTCAGCTGGGAACAACTCTACTGAATGTTCTTTCCAAGGAAAATGCTAATTCGCAATGGTTGACTTTAAAGTGCATGAAGAGAAAGGACATTATTGGTGTTTATTTGTTTGTTATTCATCTCTCCATCCATTATCCATCCAGCAACCTACCCATCCATCCATCCATGCATCATTGTTTGCTAAGTGCAGTACTTCACTAGTTATATCTGCTTTGGCTTGGCAGCCAGGTTATGCAGAGAGAAGAAATTAAGGGTAATATAAATGTCCAGGAAGTAGAATCAAATGCAATGCAATCTAGCACCTTCTTTTAAACTGCCTTACTGCTTGATGACCATGTTTTTGATGGTGTGCCTTTAATCTGCTCTTGGGGATGCTGTTCCCTAAACCTGCACTTAACGGGTCTTCCCACTCCTTTCTAGTGTATTTCACCGCCAGAGTTTGAATAGATGGGCACCTTATCACAGTATCACAGTTCTATCTGAGGGCCAGTATGTTCACAAGGGCCGAAAAGCCTAAGTGCCCAGGTTTGTTTTTTCCTACCAATGGCTTCAGTGAGACACTTTTACAGCATATCCTAGTGTGCACATTATTCCTCCCATTAAATTGTAATCCGCTCATTAGCCAGGTCATTGGTTCACAACACTTTTGCATGCCTTTCTAGTCTTGTGGCTGGTAACAAAGCAGAAAGCCACCACAAACTTGGTTCTTGCCGACAAGGAATCTTCCTATTAACTGAGAACGCTCCATCTTTGTTTTCAGAAGGCTGTACTGTGTGAGGTCATCTTTTATTTAAGAAAAATATAGCCGCTGCTTACTCTTAGTAAAACAATATATTAAACCTTAGTTAAGTGCTTGATTCTTACCTTAAATAGGTACGATACCTCATCACCATCCATATTGTTATAAACCATTGTGATTGTGGTAGATGAGATGTGGGAGTGAACTAGTTCTAATTTTTTTAAATAAACATCAGTTTCAAATGAATTTTATGTTTGTTTCTTATGAATTATGAGTTGTGTTTATGAGAGTAAGTGATTGATCCATCAGGACAGAAAGGTTACACGGGCAAGCATTCGCTATGAATTTACATGTAAATGATGAGGTTTAAAGAGTAACATCATAAAGCAGTTGTGCTAATAAATTAGCATATTTAATTTTCTATAATTTTTTATGTTTTAAAGTGGAGTATTCCCTTATTAGTTTTTCTTTTTTTCCAAAGTATTGAAAGTTACATGTTGATGTACATTTAACTTATTTTCTATTCCTAGAACCCTTACATATGCTTCCTGTACAAATCAACAAGTAAAAAAGCATCTTGAGGGTATAGAATAGGAAGATTAAATTTTGGTTTCTATGTTTTGCATATTAAAACATGACTATGCCATTTTATAGGAGCCCTGATGGTGCTAGGAGGTGTTAGACTGCTAACTGCAAGGTTGGCTGTTCAAATCCACCAGCTACTCCATGGGAGAAAGATGAGGCTACTATCTGCTCCTGTAAAGAATTATAGTTCTAGAAACTTTATACAGGACAGGTAGGAGTCAGAATCAACTTGATGGCCATGGGCCATGCCTTTTATAGCAACACAGCAGTTTATCTTGAAGTTAGCAAAACGTGTTATATTTTGTCTTTGAAAAATGGTATGTTGTTTTTTAGTTTGTATTTTCCTTAATCTATTAAATATTTTCTTATGTTTATTCTACTTGTGTTTATTCTCCAGTGAGTTTTCTACTTATGTCTTGTCCATTTTATCCATTTTTTATAGGTTTTACCTTGATAGTGTGCTTTGTTTTATTTTCTTTTAATTGTTTGAAAATTATAGTTCTTTTAAAAACACGTGATGATAAAGTATTTACCAAATGGGTTTAAACAGATATTTACTTTTTAAGTCTCTAGAGAAAGCCTGTATGTGTCTCAGTCACTCCCACCAGAAGCAGAAAGGGTTCCTGACCTCCCTTTGTCCGTCTATCAGATTGGGATCACCTGGGATTTTCCTATTAGATTGTCACTGAGCTTTCTGAGAATTTACTCTTTCTTTGTACACCACTGATTTCTGGTCCTATTACTTCTTTCAGCCTGGAATTTTTTCCCCCTACTCTAATATTTCTGAGATATTGAAAACAAATCTCCAAGTCATTGACTGGTGAAAAAAGCTTCTATTTTTTTTCTACTGGTGGAACCGGCTTCCATACAAAATTCTAGGCTCAAAATAACTTCCTGTAACTACACTGATGTTATTTTACCAAATTTTTCTGCCTTTTTCCCTCTATAAGCTTGTCCATTTCCTTGTTGAATTTCACAGTGAAACTAGGGGTGTGCACGGTGTTTGGGTTGTTGTTATTTTAGAAAACATATTCTACTTGTCATGCCATGTGTTCTTTCAAATGGGGGTACATGTATCTTCAGTCCTGGAAACTTTGTCTCCTATTTTCTTTATATGTCCCTTCTCCCCAACCTTGCTTTTTTTTTTTTTCTTTCTTTCAGAAATGCTCCTTAGATGAGCGTTTGCACTTTTAACGTTCTCACTATTCCTCCTCACCTTTGATTAATGACGTCTATCCCTTTGGCTTTTTGTGCTACATCATGGAAGAATTGGCTTACTGGGGAATTTGCTCTTCAGCTATTTGCCCGAGCTACTGAAGTTTTTCCTACCATCAACCAACTTGTTTAAGTCTTCCTCACTTTCAGCAAGCAAGATCACACCATTTACACATTGCAGGTTGTTAATAAACCTTCCTCCAATCCTGATGCCACATTTTTCTTCATATAATCCAGCTTCTCTGAGGATTTGCTCAGTCTACTGATTTAATAAGTGTATTGAGAGGGTACAACCCTGACTTTAAGCCCCTACAGTATTCCCTTGTCCTCTTTTGCACAACTGCCTCTTGATCCATGTACTGTACATGCACAAGGGACAGCATTGAACTCCAACACCAGACTCGCTGCCAGAGTCCCTTCCAACTCATAGAGGCCCTGTAGGGCAGGGTACATCTGCCACTGTGGGTTTTCCAACAGAAAGCTCTATCGTTCTCCCACAGAGGTGGCTGGTGGTTTCGAACTGCTGACCTTGGGTCTTGTAGCCCAACGTGTAACCACTACACTCCCAGAGCTCCTACAGTTGCACCTTAGACAGCCAATTTTAAGACTCCAGTCACTGCTCACCAAATAGGATGTCGAACATCTTAGGCTGTAATCTTAATGGGAGCAGATCACCAGGTCTCTTGTCTCACGGGGCTGCTGTTGGTGGATTAGAATTGCAGACCTTTTGGTTAGCAGCCAAATGAGCACTTAATCTTTACGCCAGCCGAGCTCTTTTATAGTGCACTGTCTCTCATAATTTTCAGAAAGTATTTTCTGTCTAGTCACTACAAATACTGTGTTAGTGAATACCAAGCAACGAGAGAAAATACGTGTTAGGTTCCTGAACCTCTGATCACATGGAAAACAAAAATGAAACCTTTTTATTGTGAAATGGGTGAAGGTTTCCAGAGCAGATTAGTTTTTTGTTCAACAGTGCACGTAGACTTCATTACCTGTTGATTGCAATCCCGACATTATAAATTGTAATTTCACTTATCTCCACCCCCACTCCCTGGTGTTTCCTATGTCTGTTCTTCCTTCTTAACCCTTCCAAACTTTGTCCTTGGGTATATGCTGTCCTTTTGAACTCAATTGGCTGATGATTTTAAGGTGCATATATCTCACTAATGTTATTGTTCCCCACCCAGAGCTGTCTTTGGTTAGCTAAGAGCCACAGGAGTGAATTCATTTCTAAAATGTCACCATATTTTTGCCAATCAATCCATAACTTAAAAAATGTTAGCTTCTTCCTAAAGACCATTATTAATATACATTGTTGATTCATTAACATTGAAGTCATAGCCAACAGCTGATGCCTGAGTAAAATTTATCTAACATATGTGTTTTCTCTGTAAGATACATCAAACCTTGTTGTATTTAGAAGACCAGACAGCACTTTGGCACTATGCTTAAGGACCATTTTAAACACTGAAATCACCAACTAAAAGCAAAAAAAAAAAAAAAAGGCAACAAATGTGCTAGTAAATATATTGTGAAAAGGACACTAATTTGCAATCAGAGGGGAAAACAAGAGATCAGAGCATTGCCTTGTTCAACTTTAACTGGGAAGGTGCATGTCAGAAGACTCAAATTTTTGCTGCTTCTGCCTGTTTTTTATAAATGATCACAAAAGCATATGAATATTGACTTGGGCGTTACAAATAAATTTTAGTGAGTAGTTGAATTCACAAATATGGAATCCATGTGTAATGAGGATCAACTAGATTTCATCATATAGGTATTATTCATTACATAGGTAAATATTTCCTTAATGCTTACTGTACTCCTCAAGTTACTTTACTAGGGAAAGTCACAAGAGTTCTGTATCAAAATCACAGAAACCTTTACTAACCAAAAATGTCAAAATGTCATGTTATTTTCCTTCAAAATGTCCTCCATTTAGGTCAATACACTTTGGAAGGTGGTGCTCTGGAGGCATTGTTGAGTGAGCATTGAACTGCTAACCTCAAGACTGGTGGTTCACACCACCAGCTAGGGGATCCACAGAAGGAGGGTGAGGTTTCAGCTCCTTTGAAGATCCACAGATGTGGAAACCCTATGCAGCGCTGCTATGAGTTGGAATGGATTCGATGACAGTGGCTTTTCAGTTTGCGTCAGGTTAAAACTGCAGCTTTGGTGTCCTTGAGGAACTCAAATCATGTTCTTTTTAAATGTTCTTTAGGTTTTAGGAACAACTGAAAACATCTGAAGGCTCAAGATAAGACTGTAGGGTGGGTAGAGTAAGGTTTCCCAACGGAATGCTC